AGAATTTGTTCTAGTAACACATGATACATACGTTATCAAAGTATTTCCCGAAGAAATTTATTTTTATTCATTTTATAACATTTGGGATGTCATTGTCATACAAAAACATAAGCATAAACAAAACTTACATTCATTATCACTAGTGATTTATATCTCCTTAATCTCTTAGTGTAATATGACTTCATATCAACACCTATAATATAAATAAACTGAGTGGGTCAGGTTGGAAAACCTGGTGAGTACATAGGGTTTTCAACCTATAATAATATAATTATTATGTTTAATCATCAAACAGTTAACTCAATTACCCATCCCCATTATCTTCTTTACTATTAAGGATCTACTCTAAGAATCAGGTATTTATCCTAAGGAATAGGTACGAAGTCCATCGTTCTCAATGCACACAACTGTCAAGCACAACTGCTAGTTCTATCACTTAGGTGCAACTGCTAGAATTGTGACATTCTCTCTGAGGCACAACTGTCGGTATTGTCCTTCGGGCACATCTTCTAGGGTTATCTCGTTTATTGATAATATCATTTTCGAGAGTCCACTTGCAATACATGTCAATGGGTTTTTTAGAGTACACCGGTGAACACATCGTTCACAACACCTACAGGTTGCGAGCCTGCTAGTGTTCCACTGGACTGTCTAGAATAGTCTGTGGTTGTCATCCATACTCTGCTAGATGACGGGGCCAACATTTAGGAACAAGGCTTCTCACATCGTCCACCTCTCACCCTTACCTCATGGTATATATCACATCTCAACTCATCATCCAACTCATATTTCATCTACCCATGTTTTACCCAACATATTATGTAGATATGAATACATATACAATTTAAATCATATAAAACTTGTATAAAATCGTTCATCCAACATAGATAGTAATTATACAGATAATATGCACACATAGCATGTAATTGACATAAAATACTTCATATCTATGTGTAAGATGAAAGAGACCATGCACTCACTTAAAAAGGTGGTGACTTGGCACTCGGACAACACTTCGTTACTCTTAACACAATTTTCCTTTGACAAAATCTAGTATCATTACCACTAGAGTTTAGTCTAGTATTCATCGAGACTAATTAATAGTCTTGCTATTATTACTATTATATAAACACGAAACAATATTTCTCAAATACTATATACAGACATGGGCCAAACATACCAATAATTACCAAAATGCCCTTGGAAGTCAACTGGTCAACTCTTGGTCAAAGTCAAAGTCGTCAGTCAAAGTCAAACTTCCCGGCTGATCCTACTCGCCGAGCCAGCCCACTGACTCGCCGAGTCCCTCAATTCTGAAAAAATCTCATCTCAACTCACTGAGTCATCCCTTGACTCACCGATTCTCAGCATAACCAGAAAAAGGCTAGGACCTCAAGACCAGACTCGCCGAGTCCAAGGCTATCTTCAACCAACTCTCCGAGTTGTTCTTCCAACTTGCCGAGTTTCCTCCTATCTTCATGCAACTCGCCGAGTACACCTATGCGACTCGCCGAGTACCACTAGCTCTTAACCCATACAGAGGCTTTCCAAGCCATGCAGAGGTTCCAATCCATAGATCTACTCTTCCACAAGCTATTCCTCACGTAAAGTTGCAAACTTTACGTGAATCCAAAGAGATCTAAGCATAATATACTCTAGGGCTAGGGTTTGGGACAAAAGAACTTCACCAACGACTCTTGAGCATGGACTTTATGGCTTTCTGGATCACTAATCAACCTAGATCTGAGGTAGCAACCTTAGATCTTATACCAAACTTGAGATGGACCTCATTCATACCACAAAAACCCCACAATTGATAGTTCTAGATGCACAAAAGCTCAAACAACAGATTATTACCTCAAATGAAAACTCCAACTGAAGAATAAGCTAAATCTCTGCAAAGTCCTTTGCTCCAACCTTCTTGTTCTTCACTTCCTCTCCAAGATTTCCTCCTCCAAGGCTCTATATGCTCTCAAACTCTCTCACAACCGAAAGCTAGGGTTTCTGGACTTCAAGGGAGAGTAAAGAGGCTGGGGAGAGGGTATTATGTCCTTTATATAAGGCTTAACCCCCGGGATTAGGGCTTTCTTCATACAGTACCAACTCGCCGAATCCACCCATGAGACTTGCCGAGTTGACCCTCTTACTTACACTATTAGCCCTTCAACTTTACTTTTGAATTTTTGGGATGTTACAAAAATGTATAGAAGATTATACCAATCCAGCCAACTAAAACAATGAAAATTAGGTCGAATATATTAATTCTACTATGATCAATTGTTGTTTTTATAAAATATAATTTAAAAAACATATTTATAAAAGTATATAAATATAAATATCGAGAGCAAACGGATACGAGAATTTGTGTGTGATTTGGACCGAAAATCCATTATCCATTCATCAATCAATAACAAATATCATATATGCCAACCCGTCCTCGCCATATATTCTTCTTCTCTCCCGTTTCTCCGATCTTTGCGGATCCCTATTCGTCCTCGCAAAAAATCTTTTTATTTTCCAGAAAAACAATCGAATCAAGGAAGGGATTGCACTAATTTCAGTAGAAAATATGCATTCGATGAGCTTAAAGTTGTTTGTCGATTTTAATGATGTCAAATCGAGGCATACGACGCCAGGTCAGGTTAGTTTTGGTGCCGGAGAATCTCCGGTTAGGTTGAGTTTTGGAGATCAAGGGAGGAGGAGTTGTAGAATTATTGCGCATGCTTCGGAGAGAGATGGTGGTGCTGGTGCCGGAGCTGAGGCTGGCGGAGCAGAGAGTCAGAGTCAGCACAATAAGAGTTCGTTTTTCGCACGGAGTCAAACCTATGCTTTGATGAAACAGCAAATGGAACTTGCCGCCAAGTCTGAGGTTAGGTTTTTGTTCATTTCTACAATTGATTTTGCGTTTATGAAATTCTCAGTCCGATTAATGCTTTCCATACTTGATTTGGTTGAGGAGTGATGGAAAATGTATTTTTGCTTAATCAATTTGAAAATTGGGATTGTTTACACTAATAATAACTGAAAATGTTGATATAACTGTAATACATCTGTAGAATTTCGAAGAGGCTGCTAGGCTTCGCGATTCTTTGAAATCATTCGAAGAGGAGGAACCAGTTCTACGTCTACGAGGTTTGATGAGAGAAGCCATTGCAAACGAGAAATTTGAGGTACTATTTTATCATTATTATTTTCCGATTTACCGGTTGCTTTACTCACAAAAACAAAGTATCATCATACAAATTTCAGCTTTTCCACTTGGACATAAGTTTGGGTATATACGATTACAGTTTACAAAGGGAAGCTGTTGAAAGTGCTTTAACTACAATTTCTCCTATTATGCTCTTTTAGGATGCAGCAAGATATCGTGATCAGATCAAAGAAATTGCTCCTCATTATCTATTGAAATGTTCAAGTGATGCTACAACTTTGGTACTCGTTTACTTTCTTTAGAATCATTGCTTTAGAATGCTGAAAGCTCATGGGAGTGTGACAAAAAAAATGATAAATTATTTCAGGGGATTAGGGTTCAAGTTAGGAGTGTGTACATTGAAGGGCGCAGCCAACCTTTGAGAGGCCAATACTTCTTTGCTTACAGAATAAGAATTACTAATAATTCAAATCGTCCTGTTCAACTTCTCAAAAGGCATTGGATAATTACCAATGCTAATGAGAAATCTGAGGATGTTTGGTATGATCCTTATACACTGTCATATTCATATATAATTCATTAAACAAGTTATTATATTTCTGATTAATTCTTACTTTGATTATAGGGGTATTGGAGTTATTGGTGAACAGCCGGTTATTCTTCCTAATAATAGTTTTGAATATTCATCAGCATGTCCTTTAACTACTCCTAGTGGGAGAATGGTGAGTATATATTTGCTGGATAGATTTTTCAATAAGTGGAATGTTTTAATGAGAAGAAATGGAATTCCTACGTTGCTATTTCTTGCATTTATGTACAATATCTGAATCTGATGACATGGCAGGAAGGGGACTTTGAAATGAAGCATATTGATAAAGTAGGGTCAAAGACATTCAATGTGGCTGTTGCCCCTTTTGCTCTTTCAACGTTTGGTGATGCTACTGATAGTATTTGAGGTAGTAAATATCTTAATATCATATTCTACTCTTCTTATATTCTTGTAGAAGGTAGTAAATATCTGGCAACTGTTGGATATAAGAATTTTGTTTCAAGAACTCAACTCTAGAGCTACTTGTATAGATTTTCAGATTTTGGGAGTTTGAAATTCGAAAATTGTGTATTCTTGTAATCACAAATCACAGGCAAAAACATTAAAATTTTGATGTTTGTTGTGACGATACTTGAAACATTAGCATAGAGAGCTTTTGTGGATACTTGTAGGTGACACATTTGAAGGAATTTTTGTACCTTTGTTTAAGATATATTTTTCAGAAAAAACGTATCTATTCTCGCTAGGTCAATTTAAACTTAAGTTATGTTGCATACAAATTGCATTTGAACAAATCATTATGCAAATTTTGGGGAAAAAAACTCATGGCAATTATATATGTAAACAAATAGTATGATTTAAGTTATGCGTTTACCTAACAATGATGTGTTTGTTATGTTCTATTTGCAAATGAAAAAAAAAAAAATTAAATCACTAAAAATGATAAAAGAAAAGGTTAACAAAATGATGTTAACATGCATCACAAAATAAACACATTTCGTGACTTGACATCAATATTTCACAAATTTTTAACTTTTTTTTTCATCGTAGCAACCTCTCATGTTACAAATTTACTTTTTTTTTTAAGCAAAATGCCAAAATCCATCCGGCCAATTTGTAACACACGATTTTTGGATTTTGGTCATATTATTCAAAATTACTTGAAGGATGTGACGTCTTGAAATCTTTTTTTTTAATATAATTTAGTTTACTATTTTAATTGCAAAGTCAATCGTATCATATGCAATATGTAATTACTTATAAAATTCACAAGAATGTGAATGGATCAAAACAAATTTAGCCCGTACAAATCCATCCTACAAATAAAGTACGATGTATCCAACACATCCATTTTACCAGAAATGAGACCTTTTAACACTTTTCCAAACCCAAATACGAATCTAACAAGGGACAAAAAAGACTTTTCACTCATTTCCAACAATTTACAAGCCAATCCTTACAATAAAAAAAAAATAAGGGGTATAAGTATAACAAGAGTTTCCCAAATAATAAGTTCAATCAGTGAATCAAAATATTTGGTAAAAAAAAAGAAGTAAACAAAATTTCACAAAGAAATCAATCAGCGGGAAGAGCTGGGTAAAGAACCCATAGGTATTACAGTATCATTCTCTTTATGCCCCCAAAATTTTGAAGAACTGGCCTTGGATAACAGCCCTGACAAGAATCCAATTGAAGACTTTGATTCCGTATCTTGTTGAACCAAGTTGTTAGGAGGGGCAGGAACGTCATTTGTGCTCCTTATGGACCTTGTTCCAAGATGTACACCACATGGGCAAGTATCCGTTTTCTTGAAGCAAGCCTTGTGATAAACCAATTCACAAGATTTACACCTCTCAACCTCACCTTCCTGTAAATGCAAACCCCATTTGTCAAGCATCACATAACAAATTATACTGCATTTAACATGCATTGTATATTTTTTTTTCTATGAAGTCTTGTATGTGTAAAGCAGCTGAATACGCAAAGTGATGTGTTTGTTAGACTTGTTAGGTGGTGGTGGTCAAATTTTGTGATAAATGTTGAAAAGATGGTCAAATGGCATTTATGTAATTAATAGAAAAAGATTTTGATAGAAGGATTACCTGAAAAGGGAAAATGAGAGAAGATGGATCATCACATGCTTGTCGAGCACCACAAGGGACACCCACATCATAACATATCAAACACTCATCCGTAATATGATCCACTATTTTCTTGGATATAGTTTCCACCATCACTGGTAATGCTGCAAACACAATTACAACCATTTAAAAAAAAAATAATAATAAATATATGGCAAAAACAGTAGGCAGATAACCAACCTGAAAATATCCCTTTGGAAAGATCAACAAGATCTTTGAGAGCAAAAAAGTCGCTGCTTTCAAGAATATATCTCCTGGATCCAACTCCTTTGTATATTGACATACGAAATGGGCAACGAACATATGGCAACATTCGCCCGATTCTTTTTCTCACATTTATAACATGTTGTAGAGGTGGAACTTTCGAGAACAAAAACGGATTCACAGCACTCACACAAAGCATTGGCTGAAAAAATAAATGATATTCATACATCAACAAGAATCAGGGTCTGTTAATGTTTCCTTTTTTACTTAATGGGTTAGGTTAAGCCAAAAAAACATGGCTTAATTAATGTATCAACACACAAAAAAAAAAAGCATTACTTTACTCATACAACCAAATTACCTTGTCATGTGTAGAATCAAGATATGATTTAGCCAGCTGGGACACCGGATACTCTGTAAAATCCCACCAATGCAAAACTCTCGCAGGTAAAATAGCAGTTTCATTTAAATGACAATTCGAACAAAAAACCTGCCCACTATATTCACAAACACGAGGCTTCCCCCACCCAAGTGTCTGTACAAATTCCCATAATCTAGTTTTTCCATCATCAAAGTGTTTATGGCATCCTGCACATGTATAGTGTTGTGCTTCCAACATCTGTCTCATGGATTTATGAGGCCTGATTTCAACAATAAGTGATATCGATTGCCCCAGATTTTGTGAATGAGAAACAGGTGAAATTGGACTGTTGTTTGGTGGGGAAAGAAACCATATTATGGAAGTAGGAAGACTTGATGAAAACTTGGAGTTCAGAATCGATTGTAAGCATTCTTGAATGAGAACGCTTCTTTCTGACACGACACCTGGCGAGACGTTCCCGAAGTATTTTCTTGATTCCCGGTCAACGGTTGACCAAGGAGAAGGGAGTTCCCATCCTTTGTTGGAAAATGATGTTTTTAATCGGCGATAAAGAGTGAAAAAATCACGGTATCTTCGTTCGACTTCCCATTGGTGGGGCCCGCTAAATACGCGTAATTTGTAGACTGTGTATTCCTTCACTCCGACTAATCTTTCACCGAGTGACACGTCACCCTTTTTTTGACTTGCGCCGATTACTTGGATTCCATCGATTTTGTAAGGATTTTGGAGAAAAGAGGGAGAGTTGTTGAGAGTTGAAGTTGAAGCGGTTGAGCTACCGTCTCTTGAAGGGAGAGAAACATTGGAATGGGAATGATGATTCCGACCACGGTTGAATCTGGCTGCGGGAGACTCCCCGGAATCGAGTAGGATCTCTTCCATTTCGTAGACAACTTCATCATAGAATTCATTCAGCTCATAGCTTTCTACCTGCAAATTGTGGTTTTGTGTTGTTAAAAAGGGCTGAATGCAACAAAATAGCAACGTATTTGTCTATTTTTGCATGCTATCACAACACACACACACACACACAAAGAAGAAGAAGAAGAAGAAGAAGACTGGTTAATATAGAATGAAGATCATAACTAACCTTACTTGCCATTTCAAGATCTTCAGGAACATCTAAAGGAGCTGGAGTAACATTTTGTCTTTTCTCCACATTAATAGTTGGCAATGATGGCAGTGAATAAGGCTTATGGTCTTTGGGGATTTCAGCAACATGATCTTCAACATCTTGTGTCAAACTCAAGGAAACATCACCAAATGTAAGATTGTGTGTTGTTTCACTTGATTTTGTAACTTCAGGCTTTGTATGCAACACATCCATCAAAGGGACCTTTTCGACTCGAGTAACCTCTTCCATCTTGAACTGATTGATGTCTTCTGCTTGTTTACCAATGGCTACTGTATCTTCCTCATGCTTCAGGAGATCAATCTGGCTCATAGAATGAGTCATGGAATATGTTGGTGAGTCACAGGAAACATCAATCTCATTGTCCACATGAAGGTCTTTCACATATTCTTGTTTCTGTGTGTAAGTGGATTTTGAGGTGTGTCCTTCACTTTGAATTCCATTTTGGTTGTGTCCTTGAATTTCATCTATGACAAATAAATCTTGAGGGGTTTCCATGGTTTCTTGAGTGAAATCATTCCAATCATCTGCACCATATGCTATTGATGATGTCATAAACAACGTATCATCACTATTACTTTTCTTCTCAGGTGAATAATGGACATAACCTCTAGGAGGCAACACAACAGCTTGTTCCTCATTATCTGAACCATATCCATACATAGAACCTTCAGATTCTGAGTGTTCTAAATGAGACGAGATTTCCCCTTCAGAACATTCATCCAAGTGCCTTCCACCTTCAAATACATTGTTGACCTGATCAACACCCATAAAAGACTCAGAACCTTCTTCCACCCCTACATTTTCCATGTGTTCCTCTGTTGTTTCTGCACTTAAAGATTTATCAGTAGAAGTACTTGGCATTCTTTTGGAGTTAATGTTGTCTTTCCACATATGGACACCTCCTTCATCTGGCAGATCATCCATTTCATCATATAAATGCATTTCATTTTCCATTGTCATCAACCTTTGTTCCAAATTTCCATTGTTTCTCTCCTTTGAACCTGTAATTACATCATGTGACTTGCTTCTTTGACCATAATTGCCTAATTTGCCCAAAGCTAAAGAACTCTTACTCTCAAATTTTCTTTCAAACTTCCCACCCAAACTGAAACTCTCCAGACTACCTACATCCCCAACTCTGGGACTTCTGACAGATCCAAAATCAGAATCAGTGAAGTCCTGAAATGTAGCAACAGAGCCACACAAACTAGGTGTTCCCATTGCAGAGTTAGCACTACAGTATCTATCAAACTCTGATTCTCCACATGATGAGTAACGTGATGAAACTGGTGATACATCGTTATTTCTATCCGATAGTTGCTGGTTTGAAACTTTACAGGTTAACCCCTTGCCATCAAGTTTATCATCATTCAAGCACACGGATTCAGGAAGAGTTTCACTACCCCCTTCTCCCTCTCCATTCATCATCCTATTATAGACAGAAACTTATCAAAGACATGTGAATAATAAACTAACAACACCGCATCTTTCAGTTAATATCGCCAGATGGTAAAAGCAATCAACTAACGACTCCTTTCTTCTCACCAGAGAAGAGATCGCATCTACTTTACAACTTTCCCGCCTTGACCTTCTTACACCACAGAAGTTCTAAATCAGTATCATCAAATTGATCGAGAAAAACTAAAATCACAAGCTGAAACTAGAAAAAAATCAGAGGATCCAGATCAAATGACCCTTAATCTACTGACCATAACGATTTGATTTGATTTGACTTAAAATTTTTATAACTGAGTGATCGTGAAACAATTCGTTACTTCAAATCATGAAAGTGAATTACAATCGGAAAATTGAATTGACGGGTAAGGCAGGGTGCTAATTACGAGGAATAGGGTTATTAATACTTATAAATTTATGGTGAAAAATCATCAAAACACAAAGATCGTATAGTTGAATCGAGAAAGAGATAGAAAGCGGACCTTGTCGGGTTAATCAAGTAACGGCAGGTTGAGAGTGAATGAGAGGAACTCAACCCCAACAATGGTGTTCTTCGAGTTGAGATACGAACGATGCTATTGTTGTTGGCTGGTTTCTCACGTGTTTTCACCACAAATTAATATACACAGGCCGATAGATCAACAGCTTTGACATTTTAATTATTTAATATTTAATTATTTATAAATTTGAATGGCTTGTTTTAGTTAAATTGATACATAATTCATTCATTTTTACTTTCTTTTTTAATCGAAATCAGAAAAAGACGAATATAACCAAAAATTAAAAATTAATTTTCAAAATTTAGCCAAAGATTAAAAAAAATTATCCATATTAGCCATTTTCGAAGGTGTCCGATGAAAAATAGGCTACTGGACTGCAAAATTAGATAATTGTGTTAATGGACCCTAAGTGATATTATATTTTTTTCATTTAATTTGATACCATATATTTTTATTTTTATCAATTTAATACTTTATTCTACAATATAAGTCATTATATGCTGTGAAAATAATCTTCAACGATTAGTATCACAAAAATCTTAAAACAAAATGTCTTTTTGACAAAAATAAATAAATAAATAAATCATGAATTTAACAAAAACAACAATTTCACAATTCTTGACCTAAAGGTGTACAAATTTTTTTTTTTTTTTTTTTTTTTTTTTTTTTTTTTTTTTTTTAAATCGAACCGGTTCAGTTCAGCTCAAATAAATGAACACCAGTTCAATTTCAAACCGGTTCAATCATAAAAAAAATCAAACCTATCTAAATCGGCTCCAAACCGGTTTATACGTTACAAAACAGTTTATATGTTACTAAACCGGTTATAATGACTAAAATCTCGAACATGTGTAAACTGACGGTTTGGTTCTTGAATTGGATCAATTCATAGCGAAACGGTTTAGCCTTATACCGGTTCCGTTATAAAAAAAAGTCGAACCTATCTAAACCGATTTGTACGGTGCAAACCAGCGGTTCCAAACCGGTTGATATGTTACTAAACCGATTCTAAACCGGTTACAATGACTACAATATTGAACGGATGCAAACCGATGGTTTTGTTGCTGAATCATATCAATTCATAGTAAACCAGTTTCTTGAGTTGTTCAACTTGCGAAGTGATTTTTTTTTTTTTTCAAGTCTATCTTGACCTACCAAGTTATTGTTTTTATTTTATATTTTATATTTTATTTTTATTTTTGCATTTCATAGTAGTTAAACTTATGATCCAATTCACATATTTGATAACTATTTCTTAAGAGAGACCTACAAAAACTTTTACCTAGTTGGGAAATCCTTATTTTTTACTAAATCTTGAAGAAAAGCTCATTATTTTCGCTTATCTTTTTCTCCTAAAAGATAATTATATATATATTTTTATAATATTATAATTTTTAAAAATTTAAAATATTTTTAATATAATTAATTTTAAATTGAAGTTATATAAATCATTATTTTTTTACTAGAGTTATTAAAAATTCTTTAATAATCTAATTAGATTTTTTGTTCTTCTGTATTGTTTTGTTTTGTTTTTGTTTTATTTTGTATTATTTTTTATTTTTTCTTTATTTTTTTGTTTTGTTTTGTTTTTTGTATTTTCCGTCTCTAATTCACCATTTTCATATCTAGGTTTTTATATAAAAGACAACTTAAGTATAGTTAAGTGAATCTCATGTTATAACATGTATATCTAATGAAGTTCCCAAACTTGCACACATATTTCAAACTTATACATAAAATTTGCTTATTTAGGAAAAGACTACCTGTTCAAATTGTATCGTTTACCTAGCAAACATATGACTTCTCATCCAAATTCTTCACCACAATTAAATTAGACATTAAACTAGTTTTCAAGAATTGTTTAGCTTAGCAAACCATTGGAAAACAATACAATAACATATTATTGGACATAATATTCAATGAAAGAACAGCTCTCAAATGGTTCTCCCAAGCTTAATTTTTCTCAAAAATCTAGCTTAATATATTATTGTAAAAAAAAAAAATCTGAGTGAAAACTCATCCGTTTGCTAGGAAAAACCGAAAAAGGCACAAGTTCATTGGTTATGTTCTTTTAGTCGTGGAATGAAAAACAGAAGTATGCTACATTAAAGAGTAAAAAATCAAAGTTTCGGATAGTTGGTTGCCAAAAATGCTAGAAAACAAGTACCTTTTATTATAAAGAAACACTAGATAACAAAAGATAAGATTATAAAACTACGTTTTAACTATCTTATTAACCACTTAAACTAACATAACTAACTTGTTACAAAATTTGGACCCACAAAGCCATATATGATCCACACTCTTTCCGTATTTCGATCACATTTGCATACATCTTGCAAAATACATACTCACAGGATTTGGTAAACCAATATTTCAGAATTCATGTAACACTGCTATAAAATTATTATTCGCTTGTGCTTCCTCCAAGCCTTTCAATAGCAGCACCTACACCCCCCTTTGCTTTGTTGCCTTCAGGAATAAGAACCACACTCTCTCCTTCATTTGCTTTCTCCACTAGTTTCAAATGCAGCCATCCTATCAATCACCACAACATTTCACAATTCAAAACACTTCTCTTACTTATTACAGGTATAAAGTACATAAACTATATTCAGATAAATCACCTAAAGGGAAGCAAAATGTTGCGCCCAATACGGATCCTAACAGGACATTCCTTCCACGCCATGCAAGTGATCCAGGCACTAAAAAAAAAAAAAAAAGAAATTTGGCGTTAAGATATGATTTAAATGGGATATAAAAACTTATGATTTTTTATTTTTTTGAAAATTCTTACTGATTAGACCAAATGTAGCAGCAGTAGCAGAACCAGCTCCAACTACATTATAAACATCATGAACTCCTCTTTTTTCAGCAAGAAGATTTTGCAATCCATAAAATGCAGCTGTGAACATTCCAAGGCGAACACCACCTACTATTGAGCCACGTGTAATTCTGATAAACCTTTTCTCCATTGCATCTCTCATTAATCTATATTGTTCTCTCTTGTCAGATGTGCTCCCAAGTTTCAATGTTACTTCTGCATCTTTACTCTAATAACAATGACATCATATTATAAAAATCCATTACATTCTTATAAAAATTATGAAAGATTTTTCTTTGTATAAGGGCATACTTAATTACTTACAACAGAAGCAGAGGCTTCCTTGCTGCCTCCATATAACATGCCAGCAAATACTCCAACAATGGTTGCTGTACCCCAGTTAACAGTTCCAGGCAACTTTGGAGTTTTCTGAGTTCAAAGTGAAAAGGGGTTTTAGGGTTTACCATAAGGCGAATCAATGTGTTGAAATCTTGGAAGAAAGCAAATTGGGGCAGTGATTCTTACACGATGAACACTTTCTTGTGGTTCTTCATGGACTTCCATTGTCAAGTACAAGTGATTCCAGTCTCTCTAGAAATAAACTTTACCCTGGAAATTGCAAGTCAAAAACAACACGATCCTAGTTGACCATTTACTACAATCAAGATGAACACATAGAATCAAGATGTAAACTACATAAATACTTGTTAACAGATTTCACAATCAATCAATTCATAGACAGGAAATCGATTTCACCATAAGTTAAACATATTTCACCGAATTTATACATGTTAACAGAAAATGGAGTTGATAAACAACAAACAATAATCAAATATAGTACAGGTAAGCGTCGATCAAACAGAAAAATGGAGTTGAAAAACACAAACAATAATCGATTTCTGTAACAGGTATCTGATGAACAAAAAAAGGTTCAAACAAAAGAGTTCTGCTGTGTTCTGATGGAGTGTAGAATCGACACTTCAAGGGTATTTAAGGTAATAATCGATCAAAGAAAAAAGCGTAGATGGTATATGATGAACATAGAAAATCGAAAATCGGAACAAAGAACTCTCAAATCGATGTTGAAACTTACCGGATCGGAAATCGATGTAGGCGAAGACGCCGGCAGCGGTAGTCTTGATCGGAAATCGGAGGAGGAAAGCTGGTGGGAGAAAAAAAACGAGTTCTGCTGTGTTCTTGTGTTCTGATGGAGTGGTAGAGAGCGACACAGGGAAGACGCCGAGACGAGGATACAACAAAGGAGATAGGTTTGGGGGGATTTTTTTAGTGTCCCTCACTTTTAGTTCGATAAGTTTACCTGGGATTTGATGCTAAGAAACGCCGCTTGTGTGCTTTACCAGTCGCCGGCGATCGACGGGGAAAAGGGAGGATTCCGAAGAAATGAATCTTTTTGCCAGCGGTTGAACACGAAGGTAGACTACGTCGTTTTGGTATTACTGGACCGACTAGATTGGGCAAAGTAAAATCATCACTGATCTAATAATAGTAAACAGACTAACACATTCCGGCCCATATTTGGATTTTTACATGCTAGTTATTATTTTTTTTCGTATTTTGAAAAAAAATCAAGCTTATATTATTTTTTAACTTAAATATAAACATAAATTATATGTATCGAGACTATATTTGATGAAATAAAAACTTAAGATGTTTATCCATGATTATTTATATTTTGTGTAATAGGCCTTTAAACAAAGATTTAATATTTGATAACCGTTTTACAACGGAATAAAAAAAATCACAGGGGAGAGAGAGAACGAGAGAGAAAGAAACCTAAATATTGTAAGACTCTCGCAATATTTAAATAAAGTACCCAAGCCATTTTTATGGAGTTTTCATGATATATGTGACCTAAATATTTGATTATGTATTGAGATAACTGATAGAAATATTGAAAAGAATTCCATCAACCTTAGTAATATGTCTAACGCTTACTGATTCAAAACGTGGTGTAATTTTCCTTAAATTGGCTGAACACACCAAAACTTTCATTAATAATCAAATAGTTTTCTAAATGAGATTCAAAATTATCAATATAGTCGGGAACCATCTTGTACCCGATTATAGTAGTTTCAAAAATCAATATCTGGGTGGTTTACTTAGGAGAACATTCTTTTTGTTGTTAAACCGAAAAAAATCTAAACAATAGTGTTTTTTTTTATATAATTCAAATTATTATGGTTATCAAGAAACCCTTATACTTTTTTAAAGTGATTTTTTGTTAAAAAAAAACAAACGGTAAACTAAATAAAATTAAAATTACAATCATGTTTATGGAATTAAGTCTTATATTATTTATGGCGAAAGTAATTATAACATACCCTAATAGATAAACACATGATTTTTTATATTTAGTATATTCAAGATTCTAAAAAAGCTTGTCATGGCTTCACCATGACACATCATGACTCCAAGGCTTGTACTTGACGCTACGTGTTAACAAAATATCGCCTTAAATCATATATATATATATATATATATATATATATATATATATATATATATATATATATATATATATATGCAAAATTACCGTCTTAAGTAATGTCTTACAAACGATGTGGTTTGTCAAGACTTGAAAATTTTTGAGGCTTGATATTGCAGTCAAAATCATGTCTAACGTTATTTAAAACCTTATGTACATTACATAAATATATTAATTAAAATAAATAAATTTATGGCTTGTTCCATGTACATCATACTAACTTAATTGCACCAGATCGATTTATTTTTCTAAAGTAATTTGTGTCTCGTTGCATTGCACAGGTGAATATATATATATATATATATATATATATATATATATATATATATATATATATATATATATATATATAAAAAGGGTCAAAAAAGACTTTTCAAAATTGATGGGATCAAACCACAATGAAAATAGGCCAAGGTGACTAGATGTCAATTTTTAAAGTCAATGGATGTAACCAAAGAAATCAAGCAAACGCATGTCCAAAATTTCAATTTTCTCTAAAAGCAAATGTGTTAAATTTTGGTAAAAGAACTAATTACACTACTCAATATCAATCCATTTTTTTATAATAATAATAATGATAAAAAGGAGCGTTTATGCATTAAACTTTTGACCAGTTTCATTTTTAGTTATTCTTTGTTTTATCTATTTGATATGTTGCAAGTAGAACGTAAACATATCTTAAATGGACACATTTATAAAAAAAAATGTTAGAATTGTATCCTTCAAAAATTAACAAAGAAATT